TAAAAGAGCTCTTAAAAAGTTCAATCTTGATGATTGCAAACCATGTTCATTCATATTCACCCTACATGTAATCTTTATATTAAAGAATGCAGTTCTAAAGTGGATCCAACAAAATATAGAGGTATGATAGTTTCCTTACTCTATCTCAATGCTTCTAGACCTGATATCTAATTCAATGTATGTTTATGTGTAAGGTTTCAAGCAGATCCTAGAGAGACTCACTTAGCTGTCGTTAAGAGAATATTTAGGTATCTGAAAGGAACATTAAATCTTGGACTTCTTTATAAGAAGTCCTCAGATTATAAACTGGTTGGATTCTGTGATGCTGACTATGCATGGGATAGAATTGAAAGGAAGTCCATTAGTGGTTCCTGCCAATTTATAGGTGAAAACCTTATCTCTTGGGGTAGTACAAGACCAGAAACTGTTGCTTTGTTTAGAGAAGAAGCAAAATACATTTCAGCTGCTAATTGTTGCACTCAACTACTCTGGATGAAATATTAACTTGAAGATTATCAGATTTTTGGAACCAAAATTCCTATTCTCTATGATAATACTGTTACTATCTGTCTAAGAAGATTCCAATTTAGCATTCTAGGACCAAACATATTGAAATCAAATATCACTTTATAAGGGATTATGATCAGAAGGGTGTAATAGATACTCAGTTCATTCATTCTTAACATCAATGGGATGATATATTTACAAAGTCCCCGGCCATTGCCCAATTTGATTTAATCAAGAAAATTTTAAACATAATTTATGTAGTAGAATATATGCTTGTTCTCTTAATGATGTATTGGAATATTCGTTGGAATTTGTTAGTAGTCAGTTGAATTATTTCTGATAGTTCCTTGAGTATGGTCTTTAAGTCTGAATAGGGGTTATATGATCTCTCTCTTCCTTGAATGCTTTATTTAAAGCATACAATAATAAGTTAATTCCTTTCTATGTGCTTGGAGTTAACAATTATACTATTCCTTGAGTTATGATAAAATAAGAATCTTTCTCTTAATACTCTAATCCAAAAAAAAAATCTTGAAATTATGATCTGATATTTAGTTGTCTATGAAAGTTTTATAAAGACTTAAAGAGACATGACTATCACTTCTATTTTTAGAATTTGCTCTAAAAAGTTTGGTTATTTAAAAAGGAGTGTTCTGACAAAGATTATAACTTGTTTTTATTCAGACTCATAATTGTCCAAACATTTTAATGCATACTTGCTTATATTCTAGCATTATATGTGTTAAGTTGCTAAGCTATTTTTTTCTCTTCATTATGGTCTCATAGGTTATCTTCTGCATAAGATGATGTTGTGAAATCACTTTTCTTCATCTTAGTATTTCTTCTTACAAAAATGTCCTCGTAACTTATTAAAGAAGAGATTTTTGATTTAGATTTTCTAAAGGAATATTGAGATAACTTCAACAAATTGACGGCGAATAATCTTTCATAAATTGTTTCAGATATTCATTTTCAAAAATGAGATGAATACTCTCTAGACTCATCTTTCCAGATCTTGTGAAATACTTTTGGGCCAATGCTCATATTTATCAGAGTGAGCAAAATGATTGTTTGATTATGTATGTTGTTTTTCTATTGTAATCAACTTTAAAATCATCTGTCAAGCAATTATTTGTGAGGTAGATGGAATCACTATTGAAAGCTACTGGCATAACAATAGCTCAGAAAATGGTTTACAAATCATCTATGGTAACAAAGGCCCTTCTAAAAGTCACTATACTCTTACTCCTATGGCAAAAGTCTGGTACCAATTTATGGGGAACATTCTAAAGCCTGGAGTAAAGGGGAAAGGATAACTTTTTCTGATGATAAACTCTTCATTTTGGAACTAATCTTCAAGATAAAGATCAATTTACCTCTTACTATATTTTAGTATCTTAAAGAACAAATTCTTACATCTCGTGAGGAATTTACTTTTGTCAATCCTTTTGGTAGGATTCTTTCTCAGCTTCTAGTTCAACATTGACAGACTTGTTCCTGACTAGTGTTCAACTATGAATAGTTTTAAAACTGTTATTGATTGCTAAAGTTTGTTTCCTTCTCTTTTGTTTTTGATTGATGACAAAGGGGGAGAATGGATTGAGTATTTTAGGTTAATAATGGTTCCGAATGTGGTTAATAATTCTATTTAGGGAGTTTACAAATCTCACCCTTGGAGTAGATTTATTATTCTGTATAGAGAGAAGCTTACAAACCTCAACTCTTAGACTTTACAGACAGGACTCAGGGGGAGCTTACAACCCTCACCTCTTAGACTGTTTGACTCAGGTGAAGCTTACAAACCTCAGACCCTGAAATTTTTTGAGTAACTAATCTGCTTCTGATTGTTTTTATAAATACTTAATGTTGTCATCATCAAAAGGGGGGAGATTGTTGAAACAAGTTTGGTTCATACCAAGCATCCTCACAGATTTTGATGATAACAAAGTATTTGAAAATCAATTAGGATTTTTAAACTAGTGTGCAAAATTATATTTACTTGATGGAAATGGTTTTAACACTGAAATGGCTTTTGTTCAATTCAGATCATGCTCTCTTGAGGAAGTCTGATTAGAAAATCTGCTGCTAGTACACTCCAGCTCAGAAGCGTGTTATGCTGCCTCTGATGCTGAGTAATGTCAAGTCAGTTCTACGAACAAGAGACTCAAGATTTGTTGACATTATATTCTACAGGTTGTGTTTTACTTGAATCATAGTTGTATCCTCTAGGCAAAGACCTTCTTTCATGGATATTCTTGTGACTGAAAGTTCCAACATTTGCTTTATTGGAAAAGAAGATGTACTAGAAGATTTGGTATGTTTGTAGCCGTTGAAGATGCTCCAACGTCTCTATTTTCTTTAGCTATAAAAAGCAACTAAGAATTTGAAGATCAACTAAGAAATAATGCTGCAAATACAACTGAGAAACACATGCACTACTATCAGAAAGTTAGGTATGTTAAGAGTTCTTATTCTTGTGTTGATTAAGAATCTTTGTAAAAGTGTGTTGTATTATTTTGAACACCTTTAATATTTATCAAGTGTTGTTGTAAGTTATTCCTTCTCTAAAATATATGTTTATATATAAGTCTCTTGTTGTAGGCTTCAGCAAGGTGACGTCTTAAACACGAGCTCTAAGCAAAGAAAAGTCTTAATCAGAAGTTGGTTAAGCAATGGAAAGTCTTAGACACATGCTCTAAGAAGAGGAAATTCTTATACATGAGCTCTAAGCTAGGTAAAGTCTTAGGAAGGTGGTCTAAGCAAGATAAGTCTCGGTCAGGAGCTGATTGAGCAGAGGGAAGTCTTAGACATGAGCTCTAAGTAAGGGAAGTCTTGTATAAGTGGTATGAGCAAAAAGAAAAGTCTTATACAAGTGACTATAAGCAAGTGTAATTTAGTTGATTATAGTGGAAAATATCTTGCTTGACTAGGGGACTGTAGTACTCTCAGTTGGGTGAGGAATCAGGATAACTATTATGTGTTCTTTGCTATTTTTACTTTAATTATATTTCTATTTCTGCTGCACCCTATTAGATTCTGAACTCTGGTTCAAAAGTAAATCTAATTTTTTCAACACACAATTCAACCCCCTTGTGTATTTTTCAAAACCTTTAAATTTTCTTGTGACTGAAAGTTCCAACACTTGCAATGGCGAGAAGAGTGTCAGGCCAGATGGAATTACTTTTAGAATTTGTCAAGGTTGGATGGGACTTCTTAAGGGAGGTCATCATTCTGTTTTTGAGAGATTTCCATAAGAAAGCTAGACTCACTAAGGCATGTGTTGCGTCGTTCCTGGCCCTTATTCCTAAAGTTTTGAACCCTTAGAATTTATCTAAATTCAAGACAATTTGTCTTGTTGGTTGTCTATAAGATCTTGGCAAAACTGCTTGCTGCTAGATTAAAAGTTGTTATTGGCAAAATCATCTCTAGTAAGCAAACCGCTTTTATCCAGGGGAGAAACATCTTGGATGGAGTTTTGATGGCCAATGAAGTCTTAGATAGTGCAAAGAGAAATAAGAGAAGATTCCTTGTGATGAAGGTAGATTACGAAAAGGCCTACGACAATGTCAATTGGAACTATCTTAGATTTTTGCTTTGCAGAATGGGTTTTGGTTGAATTAGCTTAGTTAGATGGATGCGTGCGTCTTCAATGGCACAATGTCGGTTTTTGTAAATGGTAGCGTCACAGATGATTTTAAGGTTGGTAGGGGAGTTCGGCAAGGTGACCCGTTATCTCCTTTTTTATTTGCCATTGTTATGGAAGGTTTGACAAGGATGGTGGACATTGCAGTTATGCAAGGTGTTTTCAAAGGCTTTAGTTTTAATGAAGAGGTTTCGGTTGATATCCTCCAATTCGCAGATGATACCGTCATTATCGAGGATAAAGGAAGTGACAACCTTTGGAGCTTAAAGGATTTACTTAGAGAATTCGAAATAATTTCGGGACTATGATTTAATTTTTTCAAAATCCGCCTTTATGGTGTTAACTTTAGTGATTGGGATTTAGAAGCATCATCATCTTTTCTTTCCTGTAGGATTGGTGTTATTCCTTTCGAGTTCTTGGGAGTTATGGTGGGAAGCAGCCCTAGAAGAATTCTTATGTGGAAGGAGGTAATCAACAACATTAGGAATAAGCTTTCTTCTTGGAAAGGTAGATTTATATCTCTAGGAGGAAGGGTTGTGTTGATCAACTATATTTTGAATTTACTCCCACGTATATGTTGTCTTTCTATAAGGCACCGAGTAAGATGTTGGGTGAAATTCATAGCATTTTAAGAAAATTTATTTGGAGAGGTTTAGAAGACAAGAGAGCTATTTATTGGGTGAGTTGGGATAACATCTGTAAATCAAAGGAAGAAGTTGGGCTCGGTATTATCAATCTCTAAATCTTCAACAGAGCTTTACTTTTGAAGTGGAAATGGAGGATAGTTAAGGATAGGGAAGCTATTTGGAGAGGTATTTTGAATCATAGATACATCAATCCAGAAGAGAAGATGCTCATCAATGGTAATATTGTGTTTAATCATAACAGTTCCATTTGGTGGAGATACATTTTTATGGTGGACTTACTCGAGAACGGTTTTGAGAACTTTTTTTCGAAAAATGCAGTTTACAAAGTGAAGGATGATAGGAGCAGTTCATTTTGGTTTTGTAGGTGGGCTGGAAATCAGACTCTGAGGGAGGCCTTTCCCGAGTCCTTTACGTCGTTTGTGGACCAGTTTTATAGCATGGCGGATGCGGGGCAGTGGGACAATGGTTCATGGCGTTGGTTTCAACATGATGCAGGGCTGACAAAAATGGTTGATGGCTCGGGATTAGGGAAATTCTTGCAGGAATGGGCTGAGGACAACACATTGACGCATGATGAATCTGAACTCATTGAGTGGATGCCGGAGAAAAATAAAACTTTTTCTATTCATTCTGCTTATAATAAGCTTGTAGCAAGACTGTCAACCACTTATATATCGCATGAGGTACATAGTGTTCTTAGTGTTATATGGAAAAGTCTGGTTCTGTCGAATGTGTTGCTGTTTGGATGGTGTTTGATTCTTAACAGATTGCCTACTAGAGACCAGTTAGTGAAGAGGAAAATTCGACTTGACAATAGAGATAAGTGATGCGTTTTGTGTTTCAAAGTTGATGAATCAAAACAACACGTCTTCGGTAACTTTAATTTTAGCATGAGAATTTGGACAACAACAGTGTCTTGCCTAGGACCTGGTTTTGTGTTGTCTAATGAGGACTTTTTTATGTTACCTTTCAAAGCTAAAACTATAAAGGAGGAAAAGGATCGAAAAGTGGTAAGCATTATTTGGGTGGCAGTAATTTGGATTATATGGACGGAACATAATGGTGTTTTATTTAAAGGTAGCATTCCAAAGTTTGGGGAGAGCTGGACGAGAATAAAGCTTTTGTTGCAGGAATGGCGATGTTTTGCGAATAGCTTCCTTACCTCTTGTAGTTATTCATATTGGAGTGAATCGCCTTTGTTTTGTATTGTCTCAAACGATTGAATAGTCTTTCTGTAAGGGTTTTGAGTATCCCTTGTACTCATTCATTCTTAATTCAATTTTTGTCTATTAAAAAAAAATAGTGATGTTGGGGGTTGAATCCAAACCAAAAGATTATTAAATAAATATAAAAAATAACTATGCTAATCAAAATTTTAACGTCGAAATTTCTTTTAATGATTTAACAATTTTTATTTATAAAAGTTATATTTTAGAGAAGATGCCAAAAATTAAAAAAAAAATTGTGATATTAATTTTTTAATAATTGATATTTTTTATAAATTGAGTTAGTTGAATTAAATTTATGTAATTTGTTGATATATGGTTCAATTTATGGCAGCAATTATTTTATACTAATGTAAATAAATTGTCTGCTTATAAATTAATAGCTTTTAAAAAGTTATTATTTTTTATGTTTAAATTTTAGAAAAGAGGTTTAATTAATGTATATTGTAGTGTCCCAAAATTTGCCCTCATCTTTTCTAAATTTTTTTTTTGCTTTTGTTTCGCATTCATCTGCATCTTATTTAAGTCATAATCATATTCTACATTGGTTTTCTAAGACATGGGATCAAGAGCTTTCTTTGAATCAATTCATCAAGTATCAGGCTTACTTTCTTCAAGAGTTATCAGGCATCGAGTGCCTAGGGTTTCATCAGTCCTTGAGTTCAAGTTTGTTGGCAAGCTTGTGTTCGATTGGCTCAGAGTTATCAGGAATAGTAAGGATATCAAGTTATCAAGCATTGGTTCATGTGAGATTTGGTCCAGAAGATCAAGTTCATCTTTTGCTCCTCCGAGGATTTATTTTCCTAGCGATTTATTCAGGAATATTCAAAGTGATTCAGGATTCTCTTGATCAGAGATTTAGAGGCTGACTCATTCAGATGGTTTTTTGTTTCTGGTGCAAGTAGTTCAATGGTTGTGGTGTGCGGTTGATCAGGTGTTGTGGAAAGTTAGAGATTGGAATGATGTGGTTAACCATTTTTTAGAATCATTTTCTTTGTCCATGCGCAAATCATGACCCGTACCAACTCATAGGTACATATACCATTTCATTTTTCTAGATCCATCTTCTATCCAAGTTTTAATCCATTTTTAACCATTTTGTTCATCAATTTAACCATTTCTTTTTTATTCATTTGAAGTCCATATACCAAAATCCATTCCATTTCTATTCAATTATCCACATCCATATTTCATGTTCAAATCCATTTCCTAATCTATTCTTTTGAATACATATTCACTTTTTAACCAATTTCAAATGTCCATTTAATTTTAATTCATAAATCATTCTTTTTACAAAAAAAATCCAACACACCCTCTTTTAAACCTTATTTCTAAATCCATCCCTAAACAAAAAAAAAACACATTTCATTGGAACTAGGCCCATGTCCTTCTATTTCATGCCAAAGCCCATCAAGAAACCTTAATAAATAGAAATGTTGACCTAGAGAGGGGGAGGGTCTTTGACCTAAAGAAAAAAAAAAGAGGCGCCATTTCTTTGATGAAGGAGAAGGGAAGGTCCCATTTTTCTCACCAATAACCTCCACATCACATCTCTCTCCAACACTCTTTTAACCTCTTTAAATAATTCTACCAATATCTAGCAAACTTTCTTCTCAAAACAACAAAACAACCCACTCTGAAGCTCAGGCCCACAAACCACAAAACTCGATCGTCGAAACCGTGTTTCTACTGCCACCTGCAATCTCCTTAACATCACCACCATCTGTCGTGTTTCAACCCACACATAACCAATCAACAACCTTTATCCATCGTCTACATGTCCACCACGGCTAGCATGCTCCTTCCGTTCCAACTTCTAACTTCAAAATCTCAACCATTCTCAACCGTACACCCCACCATCGTCGAACCACCTACAACATCAAACAATTCCTTCAGCTCATCCCGTCTTCAACAAGCCGCATCAACAACGTACCGCAAAACCAAAAATCACTTAAAACCCACCAAATCACAAAAACCATAAAAGCGAAATCAATTTCGGAGACTGAGAAAAAGAAGAGAGTTCGAACGAGAACAATACAAATCGATGCAAATAAGAAGCAGAAGATTAAGACGAGAGAGAGTTTTGAGTGAGATCGAGACGAAAAGAGGAGAGGGTGGGATATTGTACCCGTGTTGTTTCTCCTTAATCTTGATGTTGATATTCATTAAAAAAACTCGTACGATTTAAGGCGTGAAGAAAAATGGTTGTCATTTTTTTAAACGATGACCCTGTTTGCTCGACCTTGATATCAGCTTTTGGAATTTCCACATGCAGTGATCTGTGCATTCTTGACAGTGACCCTTTCCTTCATATTGTAAAGACAGGTGCTTTTGTTGAGTTTTTTTGGGCTTCTCATGGCCCGTCAAAATGGTTATCTACCCCCCCCCCCCTTTTCTTTTGCTGATTTTGCCAGGGGGAATGATGGGCTTGGCCCACATGATTTCTACGTAATATCTATACCCCCTCTCATCCGTTTATGCACGCCCATAACATTTCTTTTCATAAATTTTAGATTTTTTTTTAATTTACTTTTTTCCAAATTAGTTTTAGAAGTTTATATATATATATATATATATATATATATATATATATATATATATATATATATATATATATATATATATATATATATATATATATATATATATATATATATATATATATATATATATATATATATATATATATATATATACATATATATTTTTTTCTAATTATTTTTTAGAATTGTAAACACTTTTTTTCTAAGCAAGTTTTTTCTAGAGTTTTTATAATAATTTTCTAAATAAGTTCTTAAGAATTGTAAATATATTTTTTAAATAAGTTTTTTATAATATTTTAATTATCTAGGTTTTTAGTGATTTGTTCTAAAATCTTACAACATTTTCTTTTCTAAATTCTTAAATTGCCAGCTTTGAATATATTTGCTCAATTAATTTCATTTTTCATCTTCTTCATTTTTTCGGTCGATGACGAGACCTCTAAAATCATTATCGGTCAAATTATTGATAGATAACGGTTTGTCTGAGACCACCTTCTTTTCTCTTTCAATTTCCTCTTCATTTTCGATTTTATTTAATTTTTCGATCTATGAAGACTTTTGATTCGCGAATGTTGGTTTTCAAGGTTGATAACCTTCATTGTTTCAAATCTGTAGAAAATGACCATTTGGATCATTTTTCTATACTTTGGGATCGTGAGAGGTTTCCCTCGATTAATTAACACGAGTTTTTGTTTAAGACGAGATCCCACCCTTCTTTTGTCTGTGCGACACGATTAAATCGAAGAATGATCCTCAATATCATTTCTCAATCTTGTTGATAGCACGAATATCAATTCACGCAACCTCCTATAGTTCGACTTTTATCATAAGTCGAGCTACAACGGTTTAGCTACTACATTTTGTCCCAATTCAATTTAATAACGACTAACCACTAACTTTACTATCTGTCAATATACCACTGTTTTATTTTCAGTCGATATTATCTTGTTCATATACTCATTGACATTTATTCTGATATTTTATTGTGAATATTCTTGTATATATTGTTGTATATCCTGTATACTATCCGTATCTTGTACATATTCATTTCATTTCTTCATTTTTATTCATATTCTTTCAAAACACCTAATAAATATCGAAACCCTAAAACCCTAAATTGGTGGGCTATTGGTTGTTTGTCTGAGTGATCGATCATTGGACATTTTCAGGAACCCTAGCATGAAGTTGTGCCCGAATTTCGCTCAAGGTGTAGTATAGGACACATTGCACACACACAACTTCCTCTTGGGCTACTTGACAATGAGACCTTTTATTTCGTGCAATCCCGTGTAATTTGCATGTACCTCTCTCCTGTTTTCGATGTACGTATTTCATATTTCTTTGACTGCGGCTTATTGTTAGATGCCAAATTTCACTTATCTGATCTATCAAATGTTGGCATCTTTCACTCATTTTTGTCAAGAAAGTGTTGAAAACCGCTCTTGTTTTGTTTAGTTTGCAATATATTGTGAAAATCTCTTGGTACTTTTGATTTGTGTGTTATTGTGCAGGAATTATGCACAAAACAAGTGAAAAGTAAGACACAAGAAATGGGCAAGGAAACCAAGAAAACATGGAAACCAACAAAATGTTGTCATGCTCGCTAGGCGAGCTAGTAGCGAACAAAATGCTGTCATGCTCGCTAGGCGAGCTGGTAGCGAACAAAATGCTGTCATGCTCGCTAGGCGAGCTAGTAGCGAACAATCCCAGATTTGGACAGAACCGAAAGTATCATAAGTTCGCTAAGCGAAATCAGAGCGAAGGCTTCGCTAGCTGCTCGCTAGACGAACAAGACAGATCCTGAATGGGTTATTTAAGTGTTTTTAGTGCTTTTTAGGTCAGATTTTCATTTTGTAACATTTAGAAACATCAGAACTTATCTCTCTTCATTTTTTAGAGAGAGAACTACAAAACCCTAAGGGGGAAGAGGTAAGATCTTCGATCTCTTGTTGGGGTTTGGATTGTAATCTTTTGATACCTTATGTATTTCATCTAATTTATGTTTGTGAACTAGTTTGGATTCTCTATTGATTGATTATCTTTGATTATGTATTTGTG